GATTACTATGCTGTTCCCCTGATAGTAATTTTCTATTTTCCTATTTCCTTCTACTGGTGACAAAACTACCAGAGGTGTTTTTTTTTTTTTTTCACTCTGACAATATGTTTATTTTGCCCTCATTTTTAAAGGACACTTTTGCTGGATATACAATTTTAGGTTGAGAATCCCCCTCCTCCCAACCCAAGACCTTTAAGATGTTATTCTATAGTTTTCGGTTTCCATTATTTCTAATGAGAAATCAGTGGTAATTTTACTATTTTTTCTGTAAGTAAATGGTTTTTCTCTATTTTTAGGATTTACTCTTTACTTTGGTTTTCAGCAATTTGACTACGATTATTTTTGTGTTTCTCCTGCTTCACTTTCATTGACCTTCTTGGATCTGTGGGTTGAAATTTTCTAATCAAAATTGGAAAATTTGGGGCCATTAATTCTTTAAATATGTTTTGCTCCCTTATTTCTCTTTCCTTTCTTCTGAGATTCCAATTATACATGTATTAGACTGTCCCACAGGTTACTGAAGTACTGTTATTTTCATTCTATCATCTATGTTTCAGTTTGGATAGTGTTTATCGTCTTGTCTTCAAACCCAGTGATCTCTTTTTCTGTAGTGTTCAATCTGGTTTAAGCCCATCTAATGAATTTTTGATTTCTGATATGTATTATTTCAGCTCTAGATTTTCCTTTTTGTTTTGTTTATAGTTTCATGTCTCTGTTGAGATGCCCCATTTGTTCCTTTGTTATGGGCATCTTTTACTTTAAATCCTTAACTTCGTTTGATATTTTTGAGGCTTATATTTAAGCATTGTTAAGACGGAAACTAAAGTACCTCTTACTTTGAGGATACAGCATCCTATTCCTAAATTGTGTCCTTTCTGACGTCTCAATTGAAATGCCTACTGGGGTCAGATAGGTCCTTCTACTCTACCTAGTCATAACATCTGTTTCCCAGCACCACATGGCCTCTGAAATCTCAATTCAGCTTACAATTCCCCACCAGCTGTTTTCTCTAGGATTTGTATAGCAGCATGCCAAGGGAGGAATTGGTTCACCCCAGTAGGTAGCTGTATTTTATCTCTGACATTGTTCAGAATTACTGGCACAGAATGATTTTTAGTCTGTTTTACTGCTCTTTTAAATTTCTCTAAAACATATATTTTCTCTTATTTCTTACACCTGAGGTGAACATATCCCACCACTTCCTCCTTGGTATGCCACTGTCTTATAGCTTCTTGCCCTCTGTATATACAGCATTGCATCCAAAGATTAAAAAATGAAAATTTTTAGAGCTCCTTCTCTGCCTCATTTTCTTCTTTCTCATATCCTGTCCCACCTAGCCCACTTCAGTAACCCCAAATTCAAATTCTCTGCCTTCTTCAGATGAGTGACATTGATGCGCTCTGCTTGATCTCTATCTACTTGCCTCATGGTCTAGAAAATGCTTCCAGGTAGAAATCCAGGGCAGTCATGGAGCTTACTTCTCCCAGGGATCATGGTCCTTTGCTGCTTGGTTGTCCAACATCTCAGAACATGTGCTTCAGATATCTTGACCAGTTTTACAGTTGTTTACATATGCAGGTGGCCTACTCTAGTGCTAGTTACTTACTCATGTCTAAAAGCAAAAATCTGCACAATAGTTTTTAGTAAATGAACTGCACTCCTAATTTATATATATAGTTAAAAAAAATTTCCCCTGAATTCACCACAAGAAAGGTTTCTTGAAAATTCAACTTAAACTTCAAAACCACCACTGAGTTCAAGACAACAGACTCTAACAAAAAAAAAAAAAAAAAAGAACTTTGTGCCATCTTTGCTTCAACTTCCATATAAACAAATATATTATTTAAAATATATTAGGCTGGGCACAGTGGCTCACGTATGTAATCCTAGCACTCTAGGAGGCCAAGGCAGGTGGATCGTTTGAGCTCAGGAGTTCAAGACCAGCCTGAGCAAGAGCGAGACCCCATCCCTTCTAAAAAATAGAAAAATTAGCTGGGCATGGTGGCACATGCCTGTAGTCCCAGCTACTCAGGAGGCTGAGGCAGAAGGATCGCTTAAGCCCAGGAGTTTGAGGTTGCTGTAAGCTAGGCTGATGCCACGGCACTCTAGCCCGGGCAACAGAGTGAGACTTTGTCTCAAAAAAAAAAAAAAAACAAAACATATATATTGAAGAAAAGATGCTTATAGGTTGTACCACAATTAATTTGCATGCTTATCTCTTACCTTGTAGAGTTTGAGAATTGTCTTAATGCATTCATGTACAAACTTGGTCTGCTTCTGAAGACTTCCACCATATAGTGCCACTAGTTCCTCATTGAAGTTCACACTAAAGAAGTCAAAGTGGTACTTGAAGTCAATGTCTTCTGCTTTTCTAAGAGCAATAGAGCCAATAGAACGAACTACAGAGGAAAAGAGTGAAGTACAAATTAAACAAAATTTTTAGAAGTTTCATCCAGTCTTTCTTCAAAGTTTCTTAAAAAATAACTTGATCCCACATCATGAATATAAACCACCTATTTCAGGATGAAATCCACTAACAGTACCAATTTAGAAGAACAAACCAACCTAGCAACTGTATGCCTTAAACGTAGTAAGTGTGCCATAAATATTTTTAAAATTAAATAAATAAAAAGTGAACAGGTCCCTTATTCTCTACCTGCTTTCCTTTCAGTAGGGGTGACACTAGCTAAAAGAGAAGGGAAGGATTCTTTGAAGAATGAGAAATAGAAATTTTGTGACATTTATTGAGGATTTTAAGAATGAGAAGGTTCCTATAAGAAATGTCTGCTCATCACTTGGTGTTTTTTTTTTGTTTGTTTTTTTGGTTTTTTTTTTGAGACAGAGTGTCTCAAAATACACTAAAATACTAAATTTTAAAATACATTTTAAATTTAAATTTTAAAATACTAAATTTTAAAAGAGTGTAAAATACACTCTTTTGCCCGGGCTAGAGTGAGTGCTATGGCATCAGGCTAGCTCACAGCAACCTCACACTCCTGGGCTCAGGCGATCCTTCTGCCCCCCTCAGCCTCCTGAGTAGCTGGGACTACAGGCATGTGCCACCATGCCCGGCTAATTTTTTCTATATATTTTTAGTTGTCCGATTAATTTCTTTCTATTTTTAGTAGAGACGGGGTCTCACTCTTGCTCAGGCTGGTTTCGAAACAATCTGCCCGCCTTGGCCTCCCAGAGAACTAGGATTACAGGCGTGAGCCACCGCGCCCGGCCCATCACTTGGTTTAAATACTGATGCTTAATTTGTCTCTTTCTCTTACACATGACATCCAATACATCAGCAAGTTCTGCCTTGCTCTACCTTCCCAATATATCCCCAGTCAAAGCTTCTCATCATTTCTACCACTACCTTCTTTATCCAAACACCATCATCTCTTGCCTGAATTACTCTACAGTTTCCTAAGTGGTCTCCCCGTTTCCACTTTTTTTCTCATTATTGTTTTGCAAACCCTTTAACAAAATTTATTATGAATTAATTACATTAAGTGGCATAAAAATTGAGGCGTATAGTTTAGCAAACAAAATACCTCTGTTTGCCATTCCATTTTCTAAAAACGTATACTATACACACACTATAATTCACATATTGTATAACTCACTTTGTAAAGTGTACAATTCAATGGTTTTTAGTATATTCACCATATCTGGTATATATTGTACAACCATCTCCGAAAAATGTTGGACATTTTTTTAATCACCTCAAAAACAAAATCCTGTGTCCATCAGCAGTCACTCCCCATGTCCCCACTCCTCCCAACCCGTGGCAAGCACTAATCTACTTTGTCTCTATGGATTTCCCTTTTCTAGACAACTCATACATAAATAGGATCATATAACATGTGTGTTCTTTTGTGACTGGCTTCTATCACTCTTCATAATGTTTTCAAAGTTCATCCACATTGTAGCATGTATCAGTAAGTCATTCCTCTTCATTACTGAACAATGTTCCATTGTATGGATGTCATATTTTATTCATCCATTTATCAGTTGATGAACATTTAGATTGTTTCTACTTTTGGTTATTATGAATAGTGCTGCTATGAACATTTATATACCAGTTTTTATGTGGGCGTATGTTTATTTTTCTTGGGTAGATACCTAGGAGTGAAATTGTTGGGCCACATCGTAGCTCTATATTTAATGTTCTGAAGAACTGCCAAACTGTTTTCCAAAGTGGCTGTGCCATTTTATATTCCCACCAGCAATGTATGACATTTCCAATTTCTCCACATGTTCACCAATACTTGTTATCTGTCTTTTTTATTGTAGCTATCCTAATAGGTATGAAGTGATATCTAATTTTTTTCCTGAAATCACTTTTTTTAATTTCAAAGTATTAAGGGGGTACAAAAATATATTTGGTTACATGGATCGCTTCTGTAATGCTTGAGTCATGGGTATAAATGTGCTCATCACCCAAATTGTGTTCATTGTACCCATTAGGTAGGTTTTTGCCCCTTCCCTCCTCCTGGTATCTAATTTTGATTTGTATTTCTCTGATGACTATTGATGTTTGGTACCTTTCCTGCTTCCACTCTTGCCCTTTTATAACATATTTTTTTCCACAGCAAAGGCAGAGCGATCATTTTTTAAAAGTAAATCACACTTAACCAGACTGGTTAACATTTTTAAATCTGACAATTCCAATGTTGTCAAGGATGTGGAGCAAAGGCAAGTATAATGTATCGCTTGTGGGAATATAAATTAGCACAATCAGTAAAGATAAAAGGATACATATAACCTGTGACATGGAATTACACTCTGAGATATATATTTCATAAAAACATGGGCTTATGTGCTCCAAGATACATAGAGAAGAAGATTCACTATTTGTAATTGTCAATACATGTAAACAACTCAAATGTCCAAAGACAGAATAGACAGACTATGGTACAGTCATACAACAGAATAATACGGAGTAAGGAAAATGAATGAACCATAGCTCCCATAACAACCTGGATGAATTTTAAAGACAATGCTGAGTGGAAGAAGCCACACACAAAATAAAACATATTGAATGACTATTTATATTACAAAGTTTAAAAACAGCCCCAAATAAACAGACTGTACAGAGATGCACACTTTTGTACTAAAACTATAAAGAAAGTTAAGGAAACTACCACCTAAAAGGATAGTGATTATGTCCAGAAATAAGGGAAGGAGTTTTAATCATGAAGGGGCACATAAAGGGGTTCCGGGATGCTGGCAATCTTCTACTTCTTGACCTGGGTTTTGGTTCCATGGGTGTTCACTTTATAATAACTTTTAAATGAATATCCATATCTACGTATTTCTCTATATGTGTGTTAAATTCAAATATAACAATTAACAAAAAATCAGATTATATCATTTCTTATCCAAAATTTTCCCATCATACCTCAATCAAAATTCATTTCAAAGTCTTTTCTACAGCTTATATAACATAAGGCTACTCTTTCATTCTCATCTCTTTTCACTTTCTCTAGTCATAGTGACCCTAAAGGCATCAAGCATGTTACTGACTCAGGGCCTTTCCCCAACAGTCACATGCAATCCCTTGCTACATTCAACCCTCTCCTCAAATGTTCTCTTCACAGTGGCCTTTCCTGACTACTTCCTGACTCTGTTTATCCTTTATCCCCTCACTCTGTTTTATTTTTCTTTCTAGCTTTTAACATTACTATTTGTTTGATGGTTGTCTTCCCAATAAGAATTTAAGTTTGATGAGGGTGGAATTTTATCTGTCTTGGTCTGCTTTGGATCCCTAATACCTGGAATATTGCCTGGCCCATGGTAGGTACCCCATAAATATTTGCTAGATGAATAAACACGTAATCATACACATTGAAACAATTCTACTTTCATGATATAACAATTCTAGTCCATTTAATAACTAAGCAGATTTCAGTTGAAAACAAAATTACTTTTAGATTACTTGGTTGTTATGCCAGAAATAACTGCTATTAATATATCACTAAGCCAACATCAAGTTGCCATCTGTACAATTTCCCTACCCTCATGTTTCTGTGTTTCCCCCAGTACTTCTAAATCTAACTTAAATAACTCCAAAAGAAACAATCCAATCTCCCTTCTTGTTCAGCATAACATAAACCTAATCAATGCTTCAGGTTCTGTTCTCTGTACCCTCCATTTCCAACATAAACACTTGCTTCCTCGGTTGATTCCTGAACACCTACACCACTTACTATCCCACTCCAATCCAACTTATTCTTTTTCTCCTTCTCACTCTTTGCAAAGTGGTCTTCAACTCTTCTTTTCTAAATACTTCTCACATGTATTCTCTCTCAGAAAAAATGTCATAAATTTGGGTCTCCCAGTAAGCCTAGCACAGTACTTAACACAAGAGTGTGCATTTCATGCACTTCATTTGATTCACTAAGTATGTATATGATCAAATTCTTGACAGCTTTCAAAATTTACTTCCAAAACTTACCTTGCTTATAACTTCCAGCATTACCAGGAAGAAAGAGAACTGGAATACCTGTCAAAGGGAGAATTTTGTGTTCTTCAGCATACGATCCTTCTCCATAAAGATATAACTCATATGCTGGATAGCGTTTTGCCAGTTTCTTTGGAAGTTCTATTTTCTACATCAAAAAAATAAAAATGCAGTTTCATTTTAATCAGTCTTATTAATACAATTCAGCCTCATTGTATGTAATTCTTAATTACGCAAATTTGAAATAGTACAATATAAAAATACTACTGATGTTAAAACCACTTAATACACAAAACAAGTTCTACTTGTAGTTTATTCATATAGAGAATTAGTCTTCAATTATGTGAATTTTGAACCATGCGGTCTTCAGGAAAGCATAAAAGGAAACTACTTGAAATTCTAACAAATACAAATTACTCAAAATAGCCACTAATAAGGCAAAAAAGCACTGGCATATTGTCAGGAAGTTACATGTTGACATAATTGGAAATGCATTTAATTTAGTATCGGTATGCGTTATAGTTATAAATTATAAAAGCTTCCATCATCCAATCAATTCTTTTTTTGCCATTTTTAACTGTTTTGTAATGTCTCTCCTTTTATGCAGGCCCAACCATATATTCCAGCTGTTACATCTTCAAAGGAAAGTAAGTTTGTTTTATAATGTAGCTTTCTGACCTCTCAACTTCATATGTTTTGACCTACAATATGCTTAACAAATTAATCTGAACCTTATAGCCATGTCTTGGTCAAGACACGTACACTCTTCTTGCCATAAACATTCCAGTGAATTAGCATCTGTTTCAGTTTTCATAGACCAGGTGCATGGTTTGTCAGTATGCCTTAGACTACTCTGCAATTCATGTTATTGTATACGAAATGAGCCAGTAGTTCACATAAATTTTTTCAACATAATATAAATTAGGTCTTAATGTCATCCCCAAAAGGTAGGCATTTCTAAAAGAGGTAGTAAAGTATAAGCTCTTCTGTTCCTTCTTTTTTTCCAAAGGGTAGAAACCATATAAAATGAAACCAATTACGTTGGATAGTACTGTTACTCATTTAAGTAGATATCAATAGATTAATGATTTAGTAGTGCTGTACATGTAGTATGTGCTTGATAAAAAATTTTAACTACTGAATGAGATTTAAAAACAGTAAATGTTGTTAATGACTACTGAAAAACTTCATTGTTCTAAAAACAACAGAATTCTGATCATTCATGCACTTTCCTGAATATTCCTTTGAGCATATTACCATAAACAATTTGTGCCAATAATACCATGGAAACATCTGTAGAGACTGTGAACTTATTGCTTAAAATACCAGCAACTTCAGTTATTTCCTCAAATATTCAAAATACAGAAATACTAACCTCACTATTTGCTTTATATGCATATGTGTCCTTCAACCCAAATTAGTCCCAATATTGATTATGCACAGTATACAATAAAAAATGAAAATGACACAATAGTTTATCTCTTTAGGTACAAATTAAGCAAAAAGAAAATGTAAGAGACCAAAGAAACAGTTTCTTAATTCCTCCCAATTTAGAATACCATTTGATATAATAATACATGCATATTAGATCATTAGTCTTTTTAGTACAGTCGCTAAACAAAGTTTGAACTAGTTGAAAATTAACTCAGAAGAATAGGAAACTATCAAATATTTCTAAAAATAAATATTTGATTCTCTGGAGACAGAAAAGCAAGCAAAAAAATACTTGATATATTTCATAAAATACTATTCTGAAAGCAATTTTTGCAGTGAAAAAGAACATTTTTAAAAATATGAATGTATACAGATGGAAAAAAAGTATAGAGATGGAAAAAAAGTATAGAGATGGAAAAAAAGTATAGAGATGGAAAAAAGAGGTGGCACAAAAGAAAGGGGGGGGCAAGAAAGGAAGGAGTATAGGCAAATGGCAAAACTGCCTTTCCAGACAGAGTTCAAGTTGGAAGTCAGTGGCAGGAAGACACAGGAAAGCTAATTGACCAGACTGATAGAAAAAGTGCAGGCATACAAAAAGGATTTTGATGAGACAACAGAATAGGGTCAAGGGTTTAAAAAGAAAATATTTATAAGCAACAGGACTCTAATATAAATTGATTATTTTATATAGTTTATTTTAAATGAGGAAAGCCCCATTCCATATTAAGATCAATTACTTTTTACACTTAAGTATTATCTCCACAATCCTGCCTCTGCTGTCTGTTCTTCCTCAATTCTGCCTTAAAAGAGGCCCTTCTTATTGCTAACCTAAACCCCTTTGAAAAGACAAAAATGCTAACAAACTCCCAAGTGCTAGAAAAATACTGAGTTAAGAAACTAAAATCTTTATGATATATAATTATGAATTAAAACTAAAAAAAAGTTTGATCTCTATAACTAACCAAAAAGAAAAAAAAAGATTTTGATCAAGATAAATGCAGACAGTTTTGAAGTTCTTACAAAGAGCTCTCATCCCACCTATAAGAATAGTCCTAGGAATTCCAGTTTAATTAAAAAAAAAACCCTAGAAACAACTGAATCTTTCAGACTAGTATCTCTCCCTGCTACAATCTATAGTCCATTTGTTGTCAAAAAATACCCTGCAAAAATACACACTGTATGTGTTTCCTCACTGCATGTATTGATAACAAAGTCTTGAGAGAGAGCTGTCCTTTAAAATCTGGCTCTAATTATTCTTACCTACTTTCTTTTAACTTACACATGCCATGTTTTAAAATTTGCTTTTAATATGTTGAAAAATTCAAGATTCAAAAGGATACACATTGAAAAAGATCTCTCCTACCCCTGGTCTTTTAACCATCCAGTTCCCCTACCCAAGAAGGCAACCAATGTTATTAGCTTATGTGTGCTTCCAGAAATATTTTACATATACACAAGCAAATAAGTTTATAGATTATTTTTTCCTTTTTACATAAATGGTAATACGTTATAAATACTTCTCACGCAGTGTGTCCTGGTGCCTTCTCACCTTCACATATGCCTGCAATTTTCTTGTTTCTGTACCTTATGAATTACACACCCTCCTTGGCCCAATTCACTAAGTCTTGTCTAAAGCATTTTAATATCCAAGACAAACTCAGATGCTTCCTCTTCTGTGAAGAACCTTGTACATACTCTTATAGTGAAATTATAACACTTAGTACATTATATTGTAATTATACATTACATTCCTCTTTTCCCCATTGTATTATAAAGACAAATTAAGGACACAAAGTCTGATTTATCTCTAATTCCCTCTCACCTATACCAAGTATCTAGATATATCTGGCACAGAGTAGTTATTCAATAAATGACTTGCTAAATAAACATCGCACTTAAAAAATATATGATTCATATTTTCAATGTCAATATTTCCTTTCAAAGAGCAATCATTAGGTCACACATATGAAGACAGCCATAGCAAAACAAATTACTGTTATGAGAGAAAACAACTCAGATGTTTCTTCTCAAATTCTACAATTTGCCTAAAACTGTTTGTTGTCAAATAAAAGTTTTGCCTTGGTGTCATAATAAGGCAAGAAACTTTATAGGATATAGTGTATTTTGCCTAGTAGGCTTGCAATATGTTCGTGAGATGTTCAATTAACTCTGAATAAGTGAATCTAGGAAAACCAGAGGCAGAATATGAATACAGCTAATCAAACAATTTTAAATTCAAAGCTTCATTTTTGCAAAGAGTTTCAAATTTCTGCCCTACATTTTTAAAAAAATGGAGAATAAAACTGAATGTATTTCAACTACCTTTCCATTTTCTCTGCTGGCTGGCTAAAGAACATACAAATGAGCAGTAAAAAAGAAAGGCATCAAGAAAGAGAAGGAAACCCAATGACTAAGACATCCCACATGCTGGATATCAACCTGTGAACAATTAAAGAGCTCACTATAAATATAATTAAAAGTAAGCAATAGATAATAATATCTTTAGAACATTTTTATTTAAAAAACCATTTGGTTCTTAACAGAATTACCTCATTTAACTAGAAACCTCAGTATATTTAAAATGACTTATTTCTATAGGCAGGTTTTAATTGTACTTGTAAAATAACATCACGTCACCGGAGTGCAAAATAAAAAGACTAAGAATCAAATACAAATACTGTCATAAATTAATAGTCTTTTACATAATAAAAATAAAATCTGCTAAAATTGTGGATCAAAAATTCTGCCACTGTAATTATTACTGTACTAACAAATTATTAACAGAAGTATAACCCCCCCCAAAAGCAAATTAAACCAAAATAACTAAATACAGACTACTGAACAACAAACCCCTAAATAGCTCTTTTGCATCAGCAACACTAATTTTCTGTCTTTCCAGTCAATTTTATGAGGCAGGAAATGCATCTGTGAGGTCCATATGCTTTGTTCTCAACACCAAGGAAAACAATTTCTACTACTGCAGATATTAAAATAGCTTCAATAATTTTGGGCAAACTAAAAATAACTGGGAATTCGTACTGTATTGCTACAAAATGATTTTATCTGAACTAAACTCTTCAATGCAGTACAAAAAAACCTAAAGTGACCTACTTCAATCTATTGGGAGTTTCCTAGTTATTAAACCATAAAAAATGAAAGGTGGATTATAATAGCTCTATTTTCAGTTTAAAAAAACTAAACTAAAAGCCCACGTTTAACTATATAGCCTCTGAGAAACATAAACTGACATATCCCAGCATATTTGCTTAAAAATGAACAGAGACAACAGTAACATGTTAAAATCTTCTCCTTCAATAGCACCAGTAATCAAATGTTTCCCCTCTCTTATCCACTGATGCAAAACCAAGGTAAGGATCTCAAATGAAATCTTAATTGACTAGAATCTTGCCCATGGGAAAGGATGCTCTTCAGCAATTTAAACCTTAAGTAGTTTTAAGATCTAAATTATAACAGCTTAATCAAATAATATACTCCCTCCATAATGACTTGTATATAGAAGCAACCCCGACTTACATCCTTCATCCTAAAGAAAAAAAAATCTGCTATGGTGTTAAAAAGCATCCTAAAAATGTATTTTATCAATATGTATTATACAATACGTATACATTTTTTGGAAGAGAGTTATCATTATAACAGGTATTCCATAATCAAGAGATGCATTTAGAAATGAAAGACTCATTTGGAAGAAATTTCTTTGGATAGTTGTGTAATTTGTCACCACCTCTTTTTACAGCTGGTCATGAATGAAATTCTAGATTCTACTATGTCGAATCAACGAAGCAATTGATTGAAAACATTCAAAATGGAATGGAAGAGGTGGGGGTGGAGAGAGAGAAGGGCCAAGTCTCTCTCAAATTCCAAACACAGTGAGCAAAGGAAAATAGCACCATGAAATAGATTTTAAATGCAACTGGTAAAAAGCCCCGCTGCTAGGCGATATGCATAAACACAGGTATGCACACACACGCACGCCCCATAACCTACAAAACAGGAGGATCCACAAAATCTTTGCAGGAGGGGAGCTAAACACTTTTCAGTTTAATTACTCAGCAGGCTACCCTTTCGTCCAGAGGTAAAACCCTGGTGTCTCTAAACAGCCTTTGGAACTATCTAGCCGATACACACTCAACAGACGCTCAGTTCCCTTCCAGAAATGCGAAATCTGACTAGCAAATCACTGCGCACGAGGGGAAGAATTTAGACGCGTGGGAGGCAAAGGAGGGTCCAGGGGCACCTGTTAAGGCAAGAACGCCAGAAGGATGAGGTGTGGGTTTAGGGAGAAGGGTAGAGGCTGCCCCTCGGGATGAGCGGGGCTGGGCCCGTCCAGGCAGAAGAGCCTGTGTTCGGGATTTGGGGCCGGGCAGGATGCTTGGGAAACCATCTATCGAACACCCCACCGTGAAGAGAGGACACAAGGCAGGTGGGGGGGAAGGAGTAGGGGGCTGCAGAGTCTCCCAGGGCGGAGAAAACACATGCGAGAATGAGATGGGGGCCGGAGAGGCGCGGAGAGCCAAGGCACGGCGAACCCGCAGAAGGACCAGGCACCAGGGGCCAGAGTCTCGGAGCGCCCAGTTGAGGAAGAGGGTGGAATCTTACCTGATACTCCGGGTACTCAAACATGTAGCTCATACTGCACTTGTTCTCCTCAAAGCCGAAAAAGACATCCCATAGTCCCAGGGTGGCCATAAAGACCATGAAGACATAAAACGCCAGGTTCCCAAGGTTGACTGAGTGAAGAAACATGGTGCCACCGCCGCCTCTGCAGCGGGGCCCCAAGCCCAGACTGAGAGAGCCGGAGAGCGTCCGGCCGCCCGCGCCGGAGACGAGCCCGAGCAGCGCGCGCCTGCGTGGACGCCCGGCCTGCCCGCGCGCCCGCCGCGAAGTGCGCCTGCGCGCAGCTGACCCGGGGGCCTCCCGCCTGGCTTCTCCCAGAGCCGAGGCAAGAGGCGGCGTTTGCAGCGTGAGCGCGAATCTGAGGGGAAAGAGAAAGAGGGAGAAAGCAGAGTGGGCTGGGCTGGAGGGTGAGGGAGGAAAAAGGGGAGGAGGCGAGGAGAGGGAAAAGAGGGAGGGAAGGGCGAGCAGTGGCAGGCGGGAGGGAAAGAAGAGGAGAGGGAGTAGGAATCGAGAGGGGGATGGGTGGAACGCGGGAGCACTGGAGTCGAAAAGGGAGGAAGGACTGGAGGTGGGTGTCAGATGGGTTTATCTGCGGAGGAGGATAGAGCCGAGAGGCGATTGAGGATGGAGAGCGGACCTGGCGAGGGAAGGAGGGACTTCAAAGGCCAGGGGTCATCAGCTGTCACATCGCAAACACCTCTCCCTGCAGCAGTCTAAAAACCCTTCCCGTTCAATTTTGAAACGCCTCAGGCCTCCGCAATTTCGGTTCTCCCAGCGGTAATAGAGCACATTCACAGCTCTGTGGACCAGTTAGCTTGAGGAGGGAACAAATGGCTTTTCCCCCCTTTGACTGCCAGTTTGGGCCCAGTAGGTAACAGAAGCTTAAAAGCATCCACTCATTAAAAAACAACAGGCCGATGAAATTCTGCTCTTGGTATAAGATGAAAACCTGGGTCACAAAAGGCATCGTTAGTTATGAAAAAACGGAACCCAAATGTCCATTAGCACTGACGTCCCCAGCAGGTATCTTCGTGATCAGTTGGACGCGGACTTGCCTTGCGCCCCAGAACCTCCGGCTCTTGGGGAATTGGTTTTATACTAACGTCAATTTTTAGGCAATTTCGTCAAGCTTCAGCTCGGACTCTCAAGTGACTTAATTCCTCTTGGAGAATTGCGGTTTAGCACAAAGGCGGGAGTGCAAAGAGCTCAAAACCATGATCACGTGTGTAGCAGCTTTTAAACACTAGAATGTTGTGAGGAGAAAGACACGGTATCACTCTTTAAAGCTGACCCAATCGCAGATGGGGTGTGTGTGTAGCTAACTGCAGAATTTCCATTAGAATGGCTTTTGGCACTGAATGAATTTCATTCCACCTGGGCTGATTTTCCGGTATATTTTCTCTGCATAGGAAATTTGGCTATGGTATATAAAATCAATTTTAAAACTAAAAGGAAGTTTATAGTTTAGCTTGTACAACACCCTGATGTTCAGATTAAGAAACCATGAAGGAGAGGTGAAGTAATCCTGAAAGTCAAGATGTTCTGTTCACCCTACCCAGAAACAGTTGCAAGTCTAAACAAATACAGCTAGCTAGTGGGTGTGGAATGTTGGTGGGGAGAGAAAGAAATGAAGAAATGAAGAAGCAGGCTCCTTTTTTGTGAAGAGAGAAATTTGGAAGGACCAGGATAACAGGTAGGGAAGCTATGGGTAATATTGATCAGGAGGGCAATTGTTAATATATATTTGAGATGTGTCATATATGAAGTTTTTTTATGTGGTGATGAGTTTACTTGGGAATTTTATGCCTTTTATATTCTATTGCTACAAATAGAATTAAATAAAATTTGTAGGATTCATAAATTTGTAATTTGTTACACCAACACAACTGAATTATATCAAGAAAGACCTATTTTGATCAGCAAGGTGTGACATTGGTGAGCCCATGAAAGAGAGAGAACCTGGGGTTTGGGGTGGGGTGGAATTACCAGTTAGTGCAGTGATTAGTAATCATTTAGGGTTGGATTTAGGTTATCCATAAAAAGGGGAATATATTGAGTCTGGGTGCTTGAAAATATCACAGACAGAATGTCTGCTTATTTCTCCTAGCATATTATGAACAATATTAAACAAACCCAGGGTGAATCCACACTCCCTCATCTATCTATCCTACTGCTTCTTAAACTTAATGTGCATACAAATCACTTAGAGATTTTGTTAAAAAGCAAATTCTGATTCAATAGTTCTGGGATGGGGCCCAAGATTTTGTATTTCTGATGAACTCATAGGTGATGGCAGTGATGCTGGTCAGTGGACTACACTTTCAGTAGCAAGAATCTATCCTGCCTAAGGACTCTGCTACATGGAGAAATCCCTGAACATGAAGATGAGAGCTTAGTCTTCTGGTGGCTTTCATGAGTTGTGGCAACGTGCTGCCTTCATTGTCCACTCAGAAAGGAGTGAGATAGAGAGTTGATGCATCCTTTATGTTTGTAATCTTTCTATCCTACCTTTTTACTTTCTCTTTTCCTATCCATCCTTATTCCCTTCTGGCTTTACTACTTTTTATGTCTAACCTAAACCTACTGAGCATCACTTCAACCACTCTTGTCAGTGCTGTCAAATTCCTTGAACTCTTGTCTTTCTATTCCACTCTGCTTACAAACTTCCAGCCTTGGGTAAATATAGCCTGGCTCTGAGCTCTGACGCTAGTATATCTGAGTATTCCTGGAGAAAATGACACAAGCATTTGAGTTGCCATTCAAAAATACTTGCATATGAGGCCGGGCGCGGTGGCTCACGCCTGTAATCCTAGCACTCTGGGAGGCCGAGGCGGGTGGATCGTTCTGAGCTCAGGAGTTCGAGACCAACCTGAGGAAGAGCGAGACCCCGTCTCTACCAAAAAATGGAAAGAAATTAATTGGACAGCTAAAAATATATGTAGAAAAAATTAGCCGGGCATGGTGGCGCGTGCCTGTGGTCCCAGCTACTCGGGAGGCTGAGACAGTAGGATTGCTTGAGCCCAGGAGTTTGAGGTTGCTGTGAGCTAGGCTGACACCACGGCACTCGCCCCAGGCAAGAGAGTGAGACTCTGTCTCAAAAAAAAAAAAAAAAAAATACTTGAATATGTTTCTGGTCAACTGCCTCTCCTATTCTTCAAACTACCACTCTTTAAGCTCCCTATGTCTCTTCCCTCTTTTAGTAAATTATTAGTACATAACTTTATCTTTATACTTGCAGAGATAATTTTGATTTTCACACGCATGTTGCTTCAGTTCCTCATTCTCATGTTTGTTATCTCCATCCAGTCTTAATTCGGTAAATACAGCTACAGTGCTTGGCACAATGCCTGGCATGTAGCAAACATTATTATTGTACTTTGGTATCCTTAGAGGATATCAAAAGCAAATCTCTGAAGTTGTGTTTTAGTTCCCATTCCCCCACCTAACTTTCTTTTCAGGAAATTAGTTCTATCAAGTTAAGGTTTCTATCCATCTCTCCCATTCTATCCTCCCTTCCCCAAAGCATATGCATGTGCTTACGTCTTATTCATTTTTTCAGAAATCTTCCCTGTAGCTTTCAACTGTAGCCCTTCTCATCTCAGTCAGGGTTCCTAAAGATGTGGTCTATACTTACATCCAGTTCCCCACCACCTATTCATGCCTCGGCACATTTTAATTTTTGCCCCCATCCCGACCTCCCAAAACTTTTCTTGCAAAGGTGAGCATTGACCTAATTAGTGAATCCAATTGACAATTTTCAGTCTTACTTGATCTTCCTGCTACATTTGCCACTTCCTCCTTAAAACACTGCCTGTTGTCTTCTGTAACACCGTTTTCCACTGGGTTGCCTCTTATTCATCTGGCTTCTCAGTCTCCATCCCATGTGACTTATTTTTCCACCCATCCCTTAAATGTTATTAAACTCATGATTTTATTCTCAGCCATCATTCTACTTTCCAACATAAAATCCTTCAGTGGCTCCTCAGTGCCTGGATTCTAGTTAAGGTTCTCTTAGTTGCAAGAAACACAAACTATCTCAAGTTAAAAAGGGGATTTTTTTTTTTTTTAAGATAAAAGGGATCTCAGGACTTCAGAATAAGCTGACAAGTCAGGACACACACTGACTTTAGGATGTACACAGCTCTTTCATGGCCACTCCCAACTCTAAATCTAACCAACCTTTTAGCTAGTCACCACTGATTACAATGCCTCTCTCATCAGTTTAATTCAGAATCTTGCTTGGGGTGGAGTAGGAGGTGTGGTGAGTCTCTCATTGGTCTAGGTGATCCTTTTGAAACAGGCCTCACATATCAAAGACCATTAATAAAGGTTAGGAGTAAATAGGCCTAGGAGGGTAAACTGGAGCCAGAACCATAATAGACAAAGGCAGACAAAGGAATTTGAGTTTTATACAATAGATAATTGGAAGCTACTGAACATTTATAAAATGGGACATATTCAGAGCTAATTGTTGAGGAAGACATCTTGCATCAATGTCCAGCTGGACTGGACAGCGTATGTTTTCAATCCAGATAGGCAGGAAGGTGTTGTTTTAGTCCAGGTGGAGGAATATAAGGAAAGAAGGGTTTTTATTACTCTCCATTATAAAGAACTGTAAAGAACATTTGGTTAACTAATGGGGAATATGTCAGTCGGCTAATATGGAGAAGTCCCCAAGATATATTAAGGGAAAAATCAAGGTGCAGAAAATCAGCAAAGAAACATTGGACTTAAAATGGATTTTACGCCAAATGGATTTAACAGACATTTACAGACCATTCTGCCCAACAATTACAAAATGTACATTCTTTTCATCAGCACATGCAACATTCTTCAAGATAGACCCATGTTAGGTCACAAAACAAGTCTTTAAAATTTTTTTAAAATCAAGATCATATCAAGTATCTTCTCAGAAAACAGTGGAATAAATCTAGAAATCAATATGAAGAGGAACTTCAGAAACTATACAAATACATGGAAATTAAACAACATGCTTCTGAATGATCACTGGATCAACAAGATAGAAATTTAAAAAATTTTGAAACAAATGAAAGTGAAAACACAACATACTGAAACCTGTGGGATACAGCAAAAGCATTTCCAAGAGGGAAGATAATAGCATTAAATGC